GTGTCCTGCCTGCAGGGATCATGTGTCCTGCCTGCAGGGATCATGTGTCCTGCCTGCAGGGATCATGTGTCCTGCCTGCAGGGATCATGTGTCCTGCCTGTGTCTGTGTACCTGTCACTGTGCCCTCACTGCCCTCTGTGTGTCCCACAGGAAGGCAAGCAGGCCTCGCTGGCCGCAGACTTCTCCGTGACTCAGTTCAAACATTTGGGCCGTCTCCTCATGGTCCACGGACGCAACAGCTACAAGAGATCGGCAGCGCTCAGCCAGTTCGTCATCCACAGGAGCCTTTGCATCAGCGCCATGCAGGTAGAGTTCAGAAACACAGACATTAGATTTGTGTTCATCATTCATGTTGAAATGATCCTTGTGAATTACAAGCGTTTCAAATGTTTTGGCTCAATCAGTATCAGTTTTCAAAACCACTAAATACTCCCTCCAAAGTGCACGAAGCACATGATTAAAAACATCTGTATCTTATTAGATATTAAATCTCAAACTTCATCATTTTAGCATAACACTGTTTTTGTCTCCCCATGAAATGTACTGTCCATGTTTCAATTTAAATTAGATTAATATATTCATCAAATAATATATAATAATAACTCATTCTCATCGACGTCAACAATGGTTGTTTCCACACAATTATACAGAGAGCAAGGATTCTTAGTAAAAACTATTGTAAGAAATTAATGTAAAATAAAAAACCAATATTTAAAATAATTATGAAAAAGAAAATTGAATAAGAATTTGAAAAAAAAGTGAATTATATCTGAATTTAAAAGTGGAAGAGCTAAGTACAGTAGTAAGCAGTAAAAAGTGCTTATATTGTGCAGAAATTAGCAAAACAGTCTCAAGAAAGTAAAACATTTCATAATACAGAGTATAAGGAAGGACACAAAGATGTCACAAGTTCTGCATTTATTATTATTATTATTTAACAAAATCTATTATCTCCAAAAGGGAAGAGATTAATTCTGCCTTTTGCTCATTTCCATCTGAGGTACCCTGAACCAAAGCAATCATAACTGAGACTGCCAAGGCACACNGTGGAAGAGCCAAGTACAGTAGTAAGCAGTAAAAAGTGCTTATATTGTGCAGAAATGAGCAAAATACTCCAGAAAGTAAAACATTTCATAATACAGAGTATAAGGAAGGACACAAAGATGTCACAAGTTGTGCATTTATTATTATTATTTAACAAAATCTATTATCTCCAAAAGGGAAGAGATTAATTCTGCCTTTTGCTCATTTCCATCTGAGGTACCCTGAACCAAAGCAATCATAAATCACAGTAAGATGTCTGAAAAAGAATGTAAGCTATTTCAACGTTTGGGTAAGGAATTCTAGGAACTGTTTATTTACAGCACCTTCAAACTCAGATGTGAGGAGGGAGTGATTGGGGTGAGGCAGGGAGAGGTTTCATGGGTGGTCATGGTAGGGTGGAACTGCATGATGACTCAGCAGACCCCGCAGTGCCCTTCTGAACCCCCCCCTCTCCCCCACACACACACACACACACACACACACACACACACACACACACACACACACACACACACACACACACACACACACACACACACACACACACACACACACACACACACACACACACACACACACACACACACACACACACACACACACACAGTCCAGTTCCCATGTCCCAGGCCAACCTCAGCCCCCGCCTCAGAGGGCCGTGACTCACTGCATCGTTGGACTTCTCCTCCGCATGTCTCACATCAGACCGCAGCTGTGACCTGTCTGCTGTGAGCCGCTCAATAATGCTAACATCCATCTGGTCAAGACACACGTTGGTCAGTCAGTGACGCTTAACTTTCTCCTGCAGTAGTGCTGTGGTTGACTTATTGAAACTACATGTGCGGGATCTGGCTCATCGGTTAGTCAAAGTGTGGTTACCCTTTCCTTGTTTTGTTACCGGTTCATTCTGCTTTTTCAGTTCCTCCTAATTCTCTCACATAGTTAAACATTTGGAAAAGGGACGCCCCCNGTGTGCCTTGGCAGTCTCACTTATTGAAACTACATGTGCGGGATCTGGCTCATCGGTTAGTCAAAGTGTGGTTACCCTGTCCTTGTTTTGTTACCGGTTCATTCTGCTTTTTCAGTTCCTCCTAATTCTCTCACATAGTTAAACATTTGGAAAAGGGACGCCCCCAATTTGTTGAATTATACTCTGTTGTGCCATTTGAGTACTGATATGTCCAGCTTAGCAGACTGACTTTCACCTTCCTTCTCTTCCGGTCTCCCTAGGCGGTCTTCTCCTCTGTTTTCTACTTTGCTTCAGTCCCTCTCTATCAAGGATTCCTGATTATTGGGTGAGAAACAGTGATGTATTATTAAAACATCTGGCTCCCATGTCTCCCTGGCATTTCCTCAGTGATAAAGCACAGTTGAAATGCGAGAAGGGGAAAATAGTTGGACTAAATCCAACTATGATGTTTGTGCAACTTGTTGAATATGCACCACTATATCTGGGGAATATCCCTCACACATAAGATATGAATGAACAACACAAATAAAATAAGTTACATTTATTTGTTATTGGCTATGGAAGGTTATCGGTTATGTTCATATACTTATTTGATTATTAAAATGTAAACCGATCTTTTTCATATGGGCGTTTTGTACCCCCTAGATCAGGTCTCTAGTAATTGTGTGCTCAAAGTGCACCAGATTGAAGCATTTTACTTTAAAATGTTCAACAATATCTTCCCGGGGGGGGGGGCATACCCGGGAAAAATAGTTGGACTAAATCCAACTATGATGTTTGTGCAACTTGTTGAATATGCACCATTATATCTGGGGAATATCCCTCACACAATGTTTTGTCTCTTTCAGCTACTCCACGATCTACACCATGTTCCCCGTCTTCTCCCTGGTGTTGGACAAAGATGTCAAGTCAGAGGTGGCCATGTTGTACCCTGAGTTATACAAAGATCTCTTAAAGGTATTCTATACATGAAAACAGACGGACTGCCCCAGTGCAGCCAAACACAACATAACAAAAGATGTGTAAAAGGCAAATGATGATGTTTAATATATTCTATTCCTCCCACAGGGCCGACCACTGTCTTTCAAGACCTTTCTAACATGGGTACTAATAAGTATCTATCAAGGTAAGGAAGAGTTTAGTTCAACCTGCTGATAATCACAGGCAATAAAAACTCAGCAATATCGTCACAATATTTTCGTATTCGGTGAAAAGGTTTAAAAAAATTGGTGTTCTTCACATATCCCAACCCCACGTGAGGACAATGGGACATGTGCTTGGGGAAAATAATATTGATAAATGGTTACATCTTCACCAAGGCAATATTCAGAGAGAAAGGTTGTATTTTAAAGGTCCCATGTCATGGCCATTTCCACTGATCATAATTCCATTGTTGAGGTCTACTAGAATAGATTTATATTGTGCAATTTTCTCTCTGTAAGCTACGTGTGAATTTCACTCTCTGCCTTTAACGGCTCGTTGTAGCTCCAGTAGCTCCAGCCCCCACCCTCCCTGTGAGCACAGTGTGCTCTGATTGGTCGGGACGTTGTGAATCGCGCTGAGCTCCGTGGAGGTGTGGTTTCCTTGTTTAGCGATAGACAGCGAAACACAGCCAAACTCACCCTGAGCACACACAAAGTCACAGCCGAAGTAAAAACAATAAGTGTGGCTTGATATTGAGTCAGAAAAAGGTTGATAAACGCTGTGAGAATGGGTCTGCAGAGAGAATTTCACCGCGATCCCAACTGTCTGTTATCAGCCTGCAGCCAGGGAGGAGAAATCAGCATAGCTGCCTGCACTGAGTGTGTGTGTGTGAGGAAGTCCGTGGATTGGNTTGTTTTCAATAAGTATATAAATTGTCCAAAGAGGTTGTATTCTACAGTCTGCCTGAATGTAATCATGGCGTAGGTGTGTAGTGTGATTCTGTGTACTTTATTTATGGCATCCCGTTGGATTTGACGTCATCTGAACAGGACATCGCACGCTCACTGCTTGATAGCGCGCGAAGCTCCGTTTACGCCGGTTGCTAAGCAACATCGTTATGGGGAAATGCAAGTTTGCGTCCAAATGGTTGGAATATAAGGAGGAAGGACAATCAATACTGTATATAGTCAATGTGAGGCAAAGTGTGTCGCCAAGGTAACCGGTTAGAACTCCAAGTGGCGATGAGGTCTTAAAATGTATGGAAAGGGTCTTAAAGGGTCTCAAAGGGATCACATCTGACTTCAGGGTTCCTGCATGTACCCTGCTGCAGCACGTGGGTCTCATCTTCAGCCTGTCCCCTGTTTCCTCTCCACAGGGAGCATCATCATGTACGGAGCGCTGCTGCTCTTCGACTCTGAGTTCCTGCACATCGTCTCCATCTCCTTCACCTCTCTGATCCTGACGGAGCTGCTGATGGTGGCGCTGACCATCCAGACGTGGCACTGGCTCATGATCGTGGGGGAGCTCCTCAGCTTGTCCTGCTACATCGCCTCGCTCGTCTTCCTGCCCAGCCTCATAGGTGAGAGAGCACCAACACTCGCACATGAACTGCTACTTCCCTCACACAGAAGGTAGTGGGGGGGTTTTTATCGAGACGAGAAATAAATAGCATTCATGTTGTTGTGCTTTTGCCGACCTTGAAATGGTGCGTCAGCAGTAAGGTGCTTATACGCCCCTTGTGTACAGTTAGTGGTGGCATGCTGGATATGAGGAAGGTTAAAGGTGCATGGACAAAGTGTGAGTGTGGACCGAGTTCAGGCATGCCGTCGTACCAAACAGGAAGTGCCAACAGTGCTGTCAGCTTCCTATGAACCCACCAGTGTGTTTCTCTTTACCTAGGACATTTCAAAAATAAAACCCTAGAAACATTCTTACAGCAATGAGACGACTGAAACATAAACGACCTTTAAAAGCAGATTGTTGTTGGGGTTTGGATTTCTGTATAACAGCCCGTGCCATTACGAGACCCGTGACATATCCAATACCCTGACCAGGAGCTTCCCAAACCTTTATTTTCAGCTTTATGTGAGGCGTGGAGTTTTATTCTCAGCATTCAATGTCCACCACTGAGCATCATGACTGGCGTGTGGTCAAGAGAACCCTTTCTGGACACGTCTCCTCCCTCTTGAAGTCAGACAGGAATAGAATGTAAAGGTTATTTTCTGTCGTGCGTGTGGTGTTTACACAACTCAAATTGCACAAAAAAAGTAAAAACTGTATAGGTTGAGTTTTCTGTCTCATGCCTTCAACAATTGTTTCTTCGTTTCAACATCAGATTCACCGTTTACTCATTTTTAACCCGCTGTATGCCAGAGGAAGCTGTGTGTATAGTAGGGCTGCACGATTTGGGGAAATAATCGAATTGTGATTTTTCTGACAGACATTGCGATATTTGTTTTTAAGCGACCCAACGGAAGTTTATTGTAAAATGCGGCCATATCTCCGGCTAGGAAGGTCGCATCAACGTGCTCCCGCCTCTAGCACCCCCGCAGCCCGAGCTACGAGTGAAGGAACTAAACTTACAACAAACTTCCGTTGGGTTGCTTTAAAGTCAAGTTTCAGTTTAAGATTCACCCTGTAATAGATTAACATGTGATGGAGCATTACTAACCTGACTCAGATGGTTTGTTTCACCAAACCATTTAGGAAAGCTCCATTGGAAGCCATTTTGAAAGGGCAGGCACTTTCAAAAACACTTGGCAGGTGATTGGATCAATATGTCTATCACCTTCTATCATGGGCCACTTCTGATTGGTTAACAATGGCTGGTACATGTGGAGCACAGCACTTCTGATTGGTGTGGATGACGGACACGCAAGAAGAACATAAATAATAGGCTTTGCGATTTGATAATTGCATCATTTCAGATTTCGATTTAAAATCGATGAATCGTTCGGCCCTAGTGTATAGCTGAAAGAAGGGCGTGGTCTAGAAGATGAGATGTAATGGTGAGGTGAAACAGAAAGGTGATGCCGGTGTTGATATCAGGAAACCGGACATTTGATATCGTAGTTAAGACACTCATTTGCCGCCATTTGTGCCAACGTCCTTTTCTTACTCCGTTATATCTGATCAAAAACACAAGAATGAGTTTAATGAGGCGTGCTTTTAATGGTGCCCATTATCCAAAAGGTTAACAAATACACGATAACATAGAGAACTTTTCCCTATCAACATCATTTTACGTTACAGCGCCCAAACTATGAGAACTATAGGCATGATTATCCTAAAATCGAAAAAGGGGGGACGTTGTCTCAACTCTCTTTGTGGTGCCCCAAAGTGATTTACTAAAATGTACATGCCTTGAAGAAATAAGTAGAGCTTGGCTGCAGATTTGATTATACTGTTGACTTTCAAAATAAATAATGGAAAGGTTAAATTACTCCTCAATGTCTGGTGGTAGAATCCTGCTCTTTCTGATCTCTGCCTCTTCCTCAAGAAGTCAACTCAAAATTCACAATGTGACCCAAAATGGATCATTTAAAAAGGCTTGAGTCGAGCTTAGCTACAGATATGATTAAACTGTCGACTTCCAAAACTAATTATAACATTTGAATGCCTCGTTTGAAAATCCTACAACTCTCTTTCTGATCTCTGCCCCTCCAGACATTTACTTCATCACCACGGTGTCGTTCCTGTGGAAGGTGACGGTGATCACGCTGGTGAGCTGCCTGCCTCTCTACATCCTGAAGTACCTGCGCAGACGCTTCTCCCCCCCAAACTACTCCAAGCTGACCACCTAAAGAGTGGGAGGAGCCTCACTTACTGCGGGGAAACAGAGGGGCCTGCGCTTAGACCCGGGGATCAAACACGGATTCGTCCCCTTTCATTTGTCCCGAAATTCCTACTTGGAAATGAGAAAGACGGGACAACTTAGTCAGGGGTGCTACTGAGGGGGAGAGTTTTTAGGCTAAAATGCTACTTGCTGCACGTGTTAGATGCAAAGACTAATGATTCCTCTGTGTGGAGAAGACTTGCAGTGAAGAGTTAGTTTGACCGACTTATTTATTCGTCCTAGAATTATGAGCCTAAAAAGTGTCCTGAACAGACATGTAAATATGTAATGTAAAAATAACTAAGGCACAGAGTCAGTTCAGTAAATTATGCACATCCTGTTTATTTAAAAATATCAGAAATCATATCAAAGGGAAGTAACTGGAAAGTTGGACGTCCCCCCTGTTTCTGTGTACGTGTCATTTGGCCTGGAAACTAACCCTTTTTCCATTTCCATCCAAAATAGTCGAACCACATTTATTGTTAGACACTGAAACTGACGTAGCATTCTCACTCAGGACCTGATTCACACTCTCCTCAACACTGATTTCTCATTATATGATACAAAAAAAGTGACTAGACTTTGCATACAACACAGGCCTGTGAGTTTGTGTTTATTTCTTTATGCGTCAGCGCGACACAGCCGGAGGTGGTGCGGTCGTTTCTTTTAGCATGACCCGTGATGTTAAATCTGTCTCTGTGTGTTCGGACCCCGAGATGTGTGTGTGTGTGTGTGTGTGTGTGTGTGTGTGTGTGTGTGTGTGTGTGTGTGTGTGTGTGTGTGTGTGTGTGTGTGTGTGTGTGTGTGTGTGTGTGTGTGGAGCGCGGTGAGAGCAACCACAGAGGAGAGGCCCTTATGTGCAGCTCCCGTCAGGCGGTGTGTGTATGTGTGTGAAGCCTTTGAAGTGGTGGGCCACACTTTAACTTTGCATGATGACTCACTGTACCGGTGACCTCCTGAAGCCATAACTGAAAACACCCGGTGACCG